CAGTGAAGGAACACCCTCCCCGAAAGTTTCTTTTTAAAACAACCCCAGCTTCTCCTACCCAATCCCATTGCTCTAAAAGGTCATCAAAAGGCATTCTACCAGTGGCTATGGGCATTTTAGCTCTTGCCCTCCGAAAGTTCTGAAATGAATCAGAAGAGAATATTGGTTAAGTAACTTCAAAGCTACAGTGTAGCTGAAGCCAAATTTCACTCACTGTCACAGACAAAGACTTTCTCAGTATCCCATATATTCTGACTGGTCCAAGCTTTCTGAATGCCTTCCCACGTCAGTCAGTAGTTCTGTCCTCTGAGCCACTACTCCGGATTCTCTTGTATTCAGACACATACCCATGGCACTAGATACAACTGCCTTTCCAGGTGGCATACTCCTAGGCCCCTGGCCTCATACCTGGCAGCAGCTCCTGGGCTGGAAGACCCTGAATAGCTGACAGTTCTCCCTGTGTCCTGGCCCCATGGCTGCGCCGATGCTGCCGGAAGAGTTTGACGTTGGAGCCCATGAAGCTGCAATGGTTGCAGTGGAAAGGGTAATGGGCCTGTCGGTGCAGCTCCATGCCCTGCTGGCTCCCAAAAAGCAGGGGGCATCCCCGGAAAGAACAGGGCACAGGAACCACCACTCTGTGGGTCTGCCTCAGGTGGAGCTGCAGACCCTTACGATCTTCAGCAGAAAACACACAGTCATACTCTGGGCAGGAGAAGGTGTCAGGAGGGCCCCGGTGAATCTTGAAGTGGCTCTTCAGGGCCTGGGGTTGGGCAAACTCTTGTCTACACACAGGGCATGGTAGGGGAATATCGGGTGGGCTCTGGCCCTGCAGAGGGCCAGGGAGAGTGAGGTTGCTGGGGGGTAGCTCCACAGAGCACGGGGAGCTAGAGAGGACCTGCACAGGCTGTATAAGGGTCTCAGTGCACTGGTGCAGGGCCAGCAGAGTGGGCTCTGCGAAGCTCTGCTCACAGCGCTCACAGAAGTACACCTCCACCACCTTTACCAGGACACCTGCAGGCAGAGGACCAACAGAGAAAGGCACAGAATCAGATAGAATGAGACTCATAGGAGTTAGTTACTAGCAGAAAATATAGGTGAATCTTTTAATATTCATAGAATGGAGACAGACTTTAAGTCTGGTTCTGCACCCGGACTGTAAGCCTCACGAGGGCAGGAATAGTCTATCTTGCACATGCGTTTGGATTCCCAGTATCTAGCACAATACTTGGCATAAAGAGGTACTTAATAAATATTTGTTAAATGAATGTAACAAGCATTAATCAAATCCAGAAAGCATTAATAAAAGGCAATATATTTTGCCCAAATAAAAAATTAGAAACTATAAAAAAAGAAAGAAAATTATAATCTGGAGATAATATTTGCAATATGAATGACAAAGTGTTACTTTCATATTCTGTAAAGAGATCTCCATAGGCACAGCAATTCACAACATGGAGAACATCCTATTTGAAAAGAGCCAAATCATGTTCATAATAATCACTGCCATTTCTTAGGCAACGGGGAGGGCCTTGATAAAGAAAGACCAAGCACTCTCTTGGTCCAACTGCCCTATGAGCAGAGGGACTCTGTGAGGTTAATGCCACCATGTTTATTAACAGGGCCATGGCTCAAGCCCAGGTTTGTCTCACATTTATTCTGGTGGTCCTTTTTATTATATTTTCGTTGAAATAAAAATTCAGTGCAACAATTCAAATGATACAGAGATGTATTTTTTTAAAAAGCCACGTCACACAGTTTAGTCTATATCCTCCCAGGTCTTTTGGGGTCATTTTTCTGCAATTTGCTTCTTTTTTTCTTTGCTATATATCAAAGATATTTTTCTCTGTAATTTAGATCTACCTCATATTTTTTGTCCAGTTCGTAGTGCTTCAGCACATAGATAAATCGAAATGAAATTTTGCCCTCCCTGATGGACATTTGAGTTGTTTCCAACCATTACAATTAAAGCCAGCCTACACATCCTTATCTCCGCATCCCTGTGTGTGTGCACGAGTCTTTCCATAGGACAGATGCTGACAAGTGGAATTACTGGGTCAGAGTACACATATTTTAAAATTTGTTATGTAGATAATTGACCTTTAAGAGATTAGCTAATTTATACTCTCCATAAGCTATAGAATAGAGTCTGTTTCCCCATAGCCTCACCAACACTAGATATTATAAAGATGTTCAACTTTTGCCAAAGTCAAGAAACAAAAATGGCATCTCATAGTTATTTTTAACTGGAATTTATTTGTGTGTTAGTGAGATTAAGCATCTTTATGGTTATTCACTATTTTTATTTCTTTAGTCAATTTCACATAGATTTCTTTTCCCCTTTGTTTCTTTTTCTGACTGTGGAGCTCTTTAAATTTTAAAGGTATTAACTCTTTCTTATACATTGCAAATATTTTTCTCAGGTTTGTTTTTTATTTATTATTTCTTTCACCACATAGAAGTTTAGAAATATTATGTGATCAAATTAGCTAATCTTTCCCAGTATATTTTGTACCCTGCTAAAGGAAGTTGTGACAACTGTAGATGAAAGATGGCAGTTAAAAAACAGGGAAGCTACTTAAAATAAAAAGTTGTAGATGTGGGAAGAATAAAGGGGAGAAACTTTCTTCCAGCATAAGTATAAATGGTCAACTCTCACCCTTAACCACATGCCTTGGATGAGTTAAGTGTTATACACACGAAACTGGGGCAGGGAAATACCAGATTACCTCTGGGAAGCCCTGCCAAGGCCTGAGTGAGGAGAGAGGCTGGGCCTTTTGCCTAATCTAATCCCTGGGTGCAGTTCCTGGGAAAGAATCCCCAAAGACTACTGGAGTGAGGATTGGGCAGAGGTATCCGAAAGGTCTTCCTTTCTGGATTATTGCCAAGCATACAGGATGCTCTCCCAGGGAAAAATTGCCAAGAGCTTGGTATAAGGTTGTGTACCACCTTGCCAGCCTTCAATCAACATTTACCAGCTGCAAATCAAATTACATTTTGTAGTAAAAAATAGGATGCTACCTTGTGTTCTCATTCTACTTATATATACAAGGATCAAAAATAGCAGACAAAACCTCAGGGCTGTTTGTCGCACTGGCCTGCTAACAACTGTGTTCGTACCTGGGGTCTCTCCAGGAGCACCTGGCGACAAGTTTCCAGCTACTGCTTCTACAATGATCTCCATATTCCCTGTGTTCTCTTCAGTTGTTGTGGCCTCTACCAGCAGGCAGCTTGGGTCAGCAGGCAAAGGTGTAGGGTTCTCAGATGGACAGGGGCTCTGGATGGGCTCCAGGATTCCAGGGTTAGAGAGAGGTGGTGGGATCAGCAATAGCTCAGAGCACAGTCCATCCATCTCCACAGTGCTGTTGGCTGGCTGTGAGTCCAACATGGGGTCTGTCATCACCACCAACTTGTGTGTTGTGGTCTCTTAAGTGCTAATAAACCAACCATAAGAGAAACCAAACAAAATATAGTTAGATTTCTCACTTTCTTCCCAGTTGGTGTGGGTGGACAACCTAGTGCCTGCCCACTTAGGCATTTCCTTGCATGGCAACATGCCACAACTAGTTAACCTAGAAGTTTTCTTTTTATGACAATGTCTAGAACAAAAAGTATAAAAATTATAATAGGGCCCAATATTGGGAGAGAGAAAATAAAATTTGGCCAATATATTAAACGCTGCAGGTTTTTTTGTTTTTTGGAGCTAAGTGACCTTGGTCAAATCATTCAGTGATCTGGGTCTGTTTTCTTATCTGCAACAAAATTGGGTGGGGTCAGGGCTCTCAGAGGTACCTTCCCCTTTTAACATTTTATGATCTCATTATTCTTTAGCCAGGGTTTGAGGTACTTCTGGCCCCTGCTGACCTCCCCTCTCAACAGATCTCAGAACCAGTCATACCAATGACTTGCCATTCCCCAGAAGCACCACATTCTCTTTTGCTTCCACACCCTCACACATGCGTGTGTCTCTCTGTCTCACCTTCATGGGCCTTTCCCCCTTCTCCATCTTTCTTGTCTGGCTAAACAACTATCCTTTACAAATCTACACATATATCACTTCCATTGTGAAGGCTTCCTAACAGATTAAAGGCAGAGAGAAGACCTGGGGAATGAATGAGACCTGGCCTGGGTACTAAAGCACCCGGTTTCCACCTGCCTGGGGGCTCTGACTCACCGAGTGGATCTGGACAGATACAGTGGCCTTAGCTTTCTTGTTTGTGAAGTGGAGGCGATGACAGTGTCCACATCGTTGGGCGGGTGCGGGAATCACAAGAGCCAGAGAATGGGAAAGCCGACTTGTAACCTGCAAGGGTTGGGATGGACAATCGTCATGATTATGGTCCTGAAGACAGGCAGCGGGTAAGCGGGCGCGGTCCAGAGCAGTGACGCGACTGAGGCACCGGGGCTCCTGGGCCCCACTCGGCGTGTTCACCACCTCCTCCCGAGGGTTCTCACCTCCCAGGCCCACCCTCATCCTGGGGCACGAGAAACTTTTGCCTCCAGCTCGCTCCCCCTGCATTCCCTACTAGTTCCCGCCCCGCAGCCGGCGACTTACATACCGACCCAGGGCCGGAGGGAGCCGCATCTCTATGGTCGGCCAGAAGCTGGAGCCGCCTCCAGGGACACCCTTTATGCGACCGCCTCCTGCCCAGCGGAACTCTAGGGCAGCGGGCATAGGGAGGCCACTCTCTCTTCCTCTTGGCGGCGGGAGGAGTGCTCTATGGTTTTCTCTATCGGCCCCTCCGCCCCCCCGACTCCTCCAGTCTTGAGGACAGAGGAGGAGTACCATCGAGAATTGTGGAGCAGAGTGGCCGGGCCTTCTTGGTGGGCGGGGCGGGAAGTAGATGCAGGATCTCGGGGGTGGGGCCCAGCGGAGCTTCCCTGGAGTGCGGCGGGGTGAAACCATTGAGAGGGAGGGCCAGAGAGTCACGGCGGTAAGGGGGTGGAGTGGCTCAGTATCCCAAACCACGTTGCTGGAGGCGCGAGCTGGGGTGTGGAGGGGCTTCGGGAGAGCGCGTCCGACCAGAGCCCGGAGCGGGAAGGGCTTTGTCTGTGGCCTTCCATGCATAGGTATTTTGGAATTCTGTATCCAGCTCTGAGCCTCAGCGGAGGTCACTGCTGTCAGTTCTTCGTCCCGCGTGCCAGGCGCAGAGCTAAGTGGCAGGGGGCAGGGGAGGCGTATTAGAAACCAATTGGCTTCCTACCCCTCGGGATCTTACCGTCTACAATTAGACCCAGTCACGTTTTATTGCGGAGGATTATGAAAAATCTCCATGGAGGAAGTAGCAAATGGGCAGGATTTCAGTTGGCGAGAATAAATTAGAATAGGCTTCCGAATCGAGAGAACTAACTGCTTGAGCCAAGAGGCGGGAGGTGGTTCGCATATTTGTTCAACAGTTTAGGAGCTAAGCCATGAAAGGTAGGTAGGTGGGGGGCTTTGACTACCAGGCAGAGTTTTTACCTAATTCAGGGGCCTTTTGAGAGGTGTTGGGAGTAGGGAGAGAAATAGGATTGAAACTGATATTTATGAAGAAAGACCTGGACCCCTGTGTAGCAGTTTAGTGAAGCAGGAGATGGAGAACGCCGCCCCCCCCCCATTAAGGTGCCATTTCAAGAACTAAAAATTTTAAATATCTCAGGTGGGAGATATTAAAGGGCTAAAGAAGACATTATGAATTGAATATGTAAAGGAGAGGATATTTGAAGGACATTACTCATGGTGACAAAGCATGGTGGTTACTGACAGGTCAATGGAAGAGAATGGCTTCATCCCCTGCTAAGTTGGTTGGTCCCGGGGACTACAAAAATTCTGTCCATTATCCTGTTGTGAAGCCAGTTACATTGTTCTCTTAGGATTAAAGAATCTCCAGATATATTTCCCTGGCAGAAAACTGAAGTATGAACAGGGTAACAGGCAAAATGGGACAAGGGGCCTAGAGTCTCAGCCCTTGCATTCCAACACCACGGCCACCTCATGAGGGGAGGATATTGAAGTGCACATTAGCTGACCTGTCTTTCCTGCTCCCAGCTTCTGGAAGAGGGTGGGGGGAGGGGAGAGGAGGGATTGAGGAATCCAGTTTAACTAATCTTGTTTTTTCCCCATTTCCACTGCTCCCCATCCCCAGGTTTTGAAATTGCCTCAGGGCCTATAAGGTTGTTTCCCTTTCAAGATGCCGCTTTCAGACTTTGTCCTGACCTTGAAGGACAATCCCTACTTTGGGGCTGGATTTGGGCTGGTGGGTGTAGGTACCGCCCTGGCCCTGGCCCGGAAGGGTGCCCAACTGGGCCTGGTGGCATTCCGGCGCCATTACATGATCACACTGGAAGTCCCTGCTCGAGACAGGAGCTATGCCTGGTTGCTTAGCTGGCTCACCCGCCACAGTACCCGTACTCAGCACCTCAGCGTTGAGACCTCATACCTTCAACATGAGAGTGGTCGCATCTCTACTAAGTTCGAATTTGTCCCCAGCCCAGGAAACCACTTTATCTGGTAAGGTTGGGAGGCAGGGAGGGCTCTGAGAGTAGAAAAGGAGAATGAGGCAGCTGGGTTTGACCCATTCATTCACCCCATTTTGACCATTCTTATTCAGGTATCAGGGGAAATGGATCCGAGTAGAAAGAAGTCGAGAGATGCAGATGATAGACCTGCAGACGGGTACTCCTTGGGAGTCTGTCACCTTCACAGCTCTGGGCACTGACCGCAAGGTTTTCTTCAACATCCTGGAGGAAGGTGTGGGGTGATGACACAAGCAGGCTCTGTGGGGAGTTGCCGGGTTGGGGCATTTGACATCAGAGGAAGAGAAGCTTGGAGGATCTGAGCCCAGGGGAGCAGGGGCTAGGTTAAGCTGTTTTGGCACAGCTCTACTTTAGTGGCATGGCAGAGAGGAATATTTGTTTTGTCTCATCTCCTCCCTCTCAGCTCGAGCGCTGGCCTTGCAGCAGGAAGAGGGGAAGACAGTGATGTACACAGCCGTGGGCTCTGAGTGGCGCCCCTTTGGATATCCACGCCGCCGCCGGCCTCTGAATTCGGTGGTTCTAGAGCAGGGTCTGGCTGACCGGATTATCAGAGATGTCCGGGAATTCATTGATAACCCCAAGTGGTACATTGACAGAGGTAAGCAGCAGCTGGAGTCTTGGCCAGGCTGTTTTTGATGTGGTGTTGAATAAGAGGAAATGGGCTAGTCTCTGTGGCCAGATGGGGTGGATATACAGCTCTAACCCAATTCCCAGAGATGAAGGGGAAAGAAAAGTTGCCTACGGGGATGATTTCAAATACCAAGGTCCTTGGGTGTCCAGGGAACAGGGTTGGGAATGAATGTGGACATCTGGGGCAGACTGCATGATTGATTTTAGGTCTTGATGACAATCCCGGCTGTATTCCCAGGCATTCCCTACAGACGTGGCTATCTGCTGTATGGGCCCCCTGGTTGTGGAAAGAGCAGTTTTATGTGAGTAGAGTTAACATTTCTCTTTGGAGAAAAACTGGGTTGATGGGATTAGAAAGAGAATGTGGGAACCAGGGACCAGGATAAACATAAGGCATGTGGAACATTAGGGTGGGTGGTGGAAGACACACCTAGTATAGTCAGGAACAAGCAGTTGGGCCCAAGGACAAATTCCCAGATTGCTGACCACCTGTCCTCCCATCCTCCATAGCACAGCCCTGGCTGGGGAGCTGGAGCACAGTATATGCCTGCTGAGTCTCACAGACTCCAGCCTCTCTGATGACCGGCTCAACCACCTGCTGAGTGCGGCCCCACAGCAGAGCCTGGTGCTCCTAGAGGATGTGGATGCTGCCTTTCTCAGTCGAGACCTGGCTGTGCAGGGTAAGTGAAGGGAATTGAGGGAAGGGATGCTTCTAAATGAGAAATAGTATAAGTAGAAACCCAGAAGGCTGATGGAGGATGCCTGGGTAATAATCAGAGCCCAGAAGAGGCTCAAATAAGCAGGGGAATGCGGTGGGGAATAGAAGGGGCTAATTTTAAGTAGGGCTATGACTGATCACGCATGCTTCATCTCTATCTTCCTCTAGACCCAGTAAAGTACCAAGGTCTAGGTCGTCTCACCTTCAGTGGACTGCTCAATGCCTTGGATGGTGTGGCTTCCACTGAGGCCCGCATCGTGTTCATGACTACCAACCACGTTGACAGGTAGGAAGGAGTGGGGCACGGAGACTGTGAGGCTAGCCTTCACCAACTCAGTACCTTGGGAGAATCAGGAAGTTAAGAGGGGACCATCATTTTGGGGGTACCAGTGGTACTATACTACCTGTGACTCTGCTTTGCTGCCTTCCCTTTAGACTGGACCCTGCCCTGATACGCCCAGGGAGAGTAGACCTGAAGGAGTACGTGGGCTACTGCTCATACTGGCAGCTGACTCAGATGTTCCAGAGATTCTATCCAGGCCAAGCACCTTCATTAGCGGAGGACTTTGCAGAATGTGTCCTTCAAGCTACAACTCAGATTAGTCCTGCCCATATACAGGGCTACTTCATGCTGTATAAAAATGACCCGACAGGGGCAATTCAAAATGCTGAGTCCCTGAGGAGGTGACGATGAGGCTGTGCTCAGCTGTCCTCTAGGGGAGCAATAAACACCTGCCGCACTGCTCTGGTCTCTGACCTCCCTATATTGGTACTTGAGTAAAGAGCAGGTGCTGCAATCACAGGTGCCTGCAGGGGCATCAAGCATCCACCTATACAAGTGTTAGTGACAAAGGGGGAAGAGAAGACACTACAGTAAACAGAAAAGTACAGTCCTCCACCTGAAAGCACATATATATATACGGTATCCTAAAGAAATGTATGCACAAACTTTGAGTAATTATAAAGGCAGTGTTTATTAAAATATATTTCGAAGTGTGTATACATTTTTTTGGGATACCGTGTGTGTATATACACACACACACATAAAATGTGGGTATACACAGTGGGTTACAGGGCAGGGTGGTTCCTGCAGATTGCTTAAATGTTGGCAACCACTAGTTTTCCCTGAAATCCACTACACTAGCTGAGATGTAAGACTCCTCCTGACCTAGACCTGAATCTCATGGGATAGATCTCAGGGTAAAGTTGGGGCTACTCTCCTACAGTTCAGCCTTACTAGGAATTTAGAAAGACAGCCATACTTCAGAGACTTGGTGCTACTGAGCAAAGAAAGCCAAACAAGGCTAAATCTCTTTATTGCCCCCCTCTTACCCCCATTTCCCTGTCCCCCCATAGTACTGCTAGGAACCATCCTCAGATTCCAGGCTCAAGGGCTCCCTTCGAGTACCAGGTGGGTAGGCTCCCCGACCCCGAGGTAGGTGGGGATAGGAAGAACCTGCTGTCCGACTCTTGGAGCGCTCCCAGCGAGCACAGTCCCGACTCCTGCGGCGCGGGGGACCCTGCCAGTTGCCAGGCCCATTCTCTTGGGAAGGACCTTCAACCCCTTGGTTATAGGGTTCTTCTGGCCTTATGTCCATTGGCTCCTTGGGGGGCCCCTCAGGAGGTGACAGTTCCTGAGTATTATTGGTACCTTTTGGGGCATTGTACTCCCCTCCCTTTAGGTGCCTCCGTTCAGGCTGTCTCCAGGGGCCTCGACTGGCCCGGGGGGGATCTAGGATAGCTTTCTGTGTCTCGCCCGACCTTTGCTGATTTGGTCCAGTCCCTGGAATCTTCTCGCACGTGTACTGGGAAGCCACAGGCAGAGGAGTTGACTGGGTAGGTTGGGCAGCTGATGAAGTGGACAGTTCTGTGGCAAGGGCACTGGGTTGTTGGGATCCTCTGGAGGCATCTACAGCTGACTCAGGTTCCAAATGGGCAGGAGGCTAGAAAGAAGTGAGTACATGCAGTGAAAGACATTCAGCTTCTCAATGCAGGGAACTACAGGCCTCTCCCACACACAGTGAACTGACCACCATCAGCCTATAACCGCCCTAGGTGGAACAAAGCTCACCCTAGGGCAAAGGCACAGGGGTGTTCATAGGAAGCTTGGCATCATTGCAGGAAACCATTTCCTCACCTGCTGGAGGCTGATAAAGTACCGGTTACGCTCAGCCTCAAGGTCAATGATGCCCCCCCTCTCCTGCTGCCTCTGGTAGAGCCGCTTGAGCTCTTCTTGCTGGCGCAAGCTCTCTGCATTGGGCTTGTACAGCTCCTGGTGGGAAGGGAGCAGATTGGCAGGGAGGGAAGCATAAACAGAAGGTAGACCTGAGCCCCCTGCTCTTCTAGGACTGCCTCAGGAGACCTGCACACAGTTTTAGGTTTTATCCCTCAGATTTAGGCTCCTAGATGAAGCCTTGGGCTCCCAGTGGGGTCTGTGGTGTTGTAGAAGTCCCAGGTTCAGCCCAATCCCGGAGCCCTTTTGAGGCAAACAAGATGGCATTCCTTCCCCCTTGGAAAATGCTTAGAAGGGACTTCCCTTACCATGGGTTGTTGGGGTTCAGGGGCTGCTTTCAGTGAGGCAAGATCATACACGAGGGGCTCTCTGCACACTGGACACTGCACACCGACAGCCTTCTAAAAAGAAAGGAGAAAACTCCACCCCTGCTTCATGGCCCAGGGTGACTGCCAGCTGCCCAACCCAGACAGACAGCCTAATCTGCTGAGGGCTAGGATGGAAGGGCACAGGCATGCCTGTTGAGCAGTGAGGTGGGACAGATTAGGGTGGTTTAACTAGAGGTCTGGAACCCCGTGACACTGCATCTAGTGTGATTACATGTATACAGGATGCCCTTTTGCTAGACTGAAGTGAGTGGTCATGAATAGGACAAGGTTAACAGCCCCTGGAGTGGAGGGAGAGGAAAGGTTGTGTCCGCTGTGTCAAATGTGAGCAGCGTCTGGTGGGCTCACCTGTTTGGTTGTGGCATGCTGCCGTTGTTCCTGTTCCTGCTCCTGTCCTTGTGCCTGCAGCTCATGCTCCATGTGCTGGATGTAGCGAGCAAGACAGTGGCAGTGGAAGTAGTGGTAACAGGGCGTTTTGGTAAAGGCCTCGTTCTCCTGAAGGGAGTATGGATATAAGGCACTGCGTCAGAGCTCTCTCACCAGCCCTCCACTGCCCAGCCCAAGCAGACCCCAGGGCGCAAAAGAGACCCACCTGGAAACCGTAGAGGCAGATGACGCACTGGCCATGGGGGATGTTGTTATCCGTGAGAATTTCCTTCCCTTTCTGAGAAGAGAAAGGACACTGTTCAAACGAGGCAGCAGCAAGAACTGTGAGCAAAGCCTATCTACTGCTCCCACAAGTAGCTGGCTGGACTGGCTCCCACCAAGCTGGCCTGTTACCTCATGTTCACACATTTCTGTCTTGGTGATGCCCCATCTGCTTGGAATCAATCCTGCTCTAAGTCCCTGCCCTGCCTCCCCCAATCTGCCCAGCTTCAAAATCCAATTTGTTTCCCCACTCATTTACTTAGTCACCTTTAATAGCTCTTGAGAATGAAAATAATATACCTTACAGAGAAAAAAAGTTCAGTGAAAACACATCTTCTGAGAGACCTTTCTTGGTTGCCTTTGAAATCACTGCCCCAGTGAGTTTGTTCAGGAGTAGGCTTTCAGAAGAAAGTCAAGGTATGGACAACCCAAAGGAATAGAGAATTCAAAAGGCATCAAGTTGCCCAGCCAGCATGGCTCAGCGGTTGAGCATCAACCTAGTATCCAGGAGATTGCGGTTCAATTCCCAGTCAGGGCACATGCCGGGGTTGTGGCTTGATCCCCAGTGGAGAGCATGCAGGAGGCAGCCAATCAATGACTCTCTCATCACTGATGTATCTCTCTCTCTCCCTCTTCCTTCCTCTCTCTGAAACCAATAAAGATTATTTAAAAAAAAAAAAGGCATCAAGTTGAACTATCAAATATGCATTTGCACTGTTATTTCAATAGCTAATACTCTGGAATTCCACAAAGTTCAAAGCTGCATTGTGGAGGCTTAACTCAGGACTGCTACGATGGTCCATGCACACTCACTCTGACACCAGAGACCACCTGCCTTTATTCTTTTCTGAACATTTCTCTAAAAATGTTCAGAGAAGAATATTCCTCAAAGTAGAGGAAAACAAGGCTGTATTCAATTGTGTGTTTTTAATCTCAAACAGCAAAAGTGACCTGTGGTTCTAGGTGTCACTTCATGTGGCTTGTTTCCTTCACTAGGATAGAAGCTCAGTAAAAAACCATGACTTTTTCTAGTCAGCTCTAATGGCAGACTAGCCTTCAAATGTTTGTGGCAAAGACCCTCTAGGTGGGATCCATCTTGCTACTTTCAGTTGCCAATGCCAAGAGAACAAAAAATGCACTGAAGCTGAAGCAAGAATAATGCAAGTTATGAGGAAAAGTAATTTTCTATCAAGATGATGGAATAGGCAACTTGGGAAAGCTATAGAACTGCTTTTTGGGAGATTTTTTTGAAACAGAAGAGAGTCTCATCTTTCTCGATTTAAACCTACTTAAACAAGGACTAAATGAACAGATACACTCACGATTCTAGGCTATGGCTTCCCTTGAAAGAAACTGCTCTAGCTTGAAGGGAAGGACATCTCCTAAGGCTAGAACACCTCTTACCTCAATAAGTTCATAGAGCATGGCAGTACCCAGCCCAGCTGTGGCCACGTGGCTCAGTGCCTGTGAGATCCTAGAGGAAGAAGGCAAACCAAATGTTAGGCCTGCTCCCTTCCCTCACCAGACTGAGCTGTATCTCGAGTTTTCCCTGTTCTGACCAGCCCACTTACTTGTGGATCTGTTCATCTGAGAGTCCTCGGGGGTTACGAATAGAGATCTGTGGCACCTCATTGGGATACTTGTAGGAGAAAACCACAAGTTACTGCTAGAGTACTCCACCCCAGGACCTCTTCCTTTCCTCCCTTTGCTGCCATAAGGTAGGGGACTCACCTGTGCTGGGACCTGAAGCACCAGAGTGAAGCAGACATACTGTGAATCCTGGTCTTCTGCAGTGGCAGGGTGCAGGGTGATGTACACCTCCCATGGTGAAGATCTGTAGGTGGATGAAGTGGAGACCTGGGGTGTGACTGGGTAGGGGCTGGAGGGTTGGGGAGGATGGGGGTGAGATAGCAAAGCGGGCAGAGAAAGTAAACACTGGGCTCGCTCTTTTTTGGGGGGTGGGGAATGAAAGGAACAGTCTTTACATGAGAAACATTATCTCTGAATCAACACTCACAGATTCTGCATGGAATCCTCTCATTTCTAAGGGGACTCATGCCTGCCCCTAGTTGAATACATACCTGCCATTTCCTTTAACCACCTGTAGTTCATCCAGATAGATAGATTCTAACACCTCAATTTCAGAGGGAAGGACCCTAGAGAGACAGAGTTTTAGAGATCATTTCTGCCAACAGATAAGGAAACAGATTTCCAGGAAGGTGAAATGACTAGCCCAAATCTCAAGGCTTAACAGGCAGAACTCAGATGAGAGCCTGGTTTCCTGACTCCCTATTTAAGTTTGTTGCGCTATTAATTATTCCTTCGTGGCCATCTCTTTGACCCAGAAATATGATGTCCATTGATTAACATCAAGGTTACCAATACCACTCTTGGCTTTCCCTACACTATGGTTCATGTGGATCCCAGTATTTACATATACTGCCAGTATCAGTCACCCTATCTCGGAGATACCAACCTAAACAGACCAAGATGATATAAAAGCTATGTAGTAGTGGAAGAGCCATCAGTCTTGGAGTCATTAATAGGTACCAATCACTTAGCACCCATGTGATCTGAGTGGTTATTTATCTCTGTAAACCTGAGTTACCTTGTCTAACATACATAAATAATACCATCTACTCTCTAGGGTTATTGTGAGGATGAAAGGGATTTGCTTATGTAAGGTACCTAGTAGCATCCTGGCCATAGTAGCTAGCCTACATTTGTATATAAGCTTTTCCCTTAAAAGGAAAGAAGGATGTAGTTAGTATTCAATGTGTTTATGACCCTGTTGTATAGCTGATCTACATCAACCTGTCCAGGTCAGAATCCAGTGGTCCTGATATAAATCAGAGAACACACATTTTTAATCACAGAAAGAGCAGTCATGATGACGCTGAGGGTGACATCGATAATACATGAAAAGATGCATGCCTGGTTTGCTTTCTTGCTGTTCCTTCTTCACCAAGAGCAGTGCTGCTCTTAGCATGGCCTATACATTAGTGGTTCTCAAAACTTTTTTAAGTCTCCGAACACCACAAATAGCTCTGCAATCACTGTTGCCCTCTCCAAGGATCAAAGTGTCTACTCAGAATCTTTATATTCCCTTGAACAGGTTGAAAACCATGAGTCCAGATGGTCTCAGTAAAGGCCAGCACTGACTGGGCTTCCTGAATCAATGAAACACGGAGGTGTAGCCTCCATCAAGAGGCCCTTCAATACTTCACTCAGCCTAACTGTGACTTGTGCCTTGATGTGAGGAATGGGATGGGATGGTGGTAAAGTGGTGACAAAAAAAAAAAAGAGAAGGGGGGCAGAATATCCTAGTACCAAGGATGTAAGATTTGGATTCAGACAACCCGAATTTGTAGTCATAACCATGTACCTTCTGGCAAATCATTTTACCCGTCAGGCTTCATCTAGTCTCCTCAGATGCCTACAACTCAGTGAAAAGGAGGCGGATGTATGTTACAAATCCATCGTGATCCTCCCAACTATTCTATGAGGTAGATGCCACACCCACTTTTTCAAAGCCGAGGACACTGACTCATAGAAGGTAGGTGGCCTGGTCAGCATCACACAGCTAATAAAATGTGGAGCGAACCCACATTTATCCTTTTTCCAAATCCCGGAGTCCTTTCAGGTTCTGGTCTCTTCTAAGAACGCTTGAGAAAAGGACTGAGAGAGCTTTTTGTGAAGTGTAGGGCTTTATTCAGACAACAGTCCTCAGTACTGTCAGGAAGGGAGAAGGCTGAGGAAAGCCTCGGCGGAAACAGGATGATCCACGGGGAAAGGGGGGCGGGAGCTGGAGGACATAGGTTCTGCGAGGTTAAAAAGGGAGGTGGGACGATACGATGAGCAAGGCATTCCCCGGGACCCTGAGCAAATCCACTTCAAGAAGAGACAATGGGATGGGATGAGGCCGGAGGAAAGAAGGGTCAAACCAGATAAGGCGCGGCTCGCCCTGGCCTGATCAGCGCAGATCCGGTCGTCTCTCGCTTAGATCAATGCCCCTCCACCCACCCGCTCCCCGGTCCAGAAGCTCTCTCAGAGAAAGATGTCAGCGTCTCTGTTATCCCTCATTCCTCGCTCCGCCCCACATGCCCGCCATACGGACAGTCCGCGGCCGCCGCTAGTCCCCCGAACCGGATCCAGAGGGTCAGCCAAAGCCCATGCCCCAAAGTTACCAGTCCTCCTCCCCTGGAGCTGTCGAAGAAGATGTCGCCATGTCTCCTCCGGCCCACAGCCGGAACCGGAAATACCCTTGGGTTTAGGAGGCGGAAAGTTAAGGAGCTGGCGGCTTGTAGCTAGCCGCCGTTTCTAGGCAACCGCAGACTCTGGGTCTTTAGTGGGTCCTGATAGTCAAAAGGCGGTTCGGAATTGCCCTGAAAAGTGCCTAAGGAAGGTCCACCGTCTCCCCCACACTCTGAATGCCTTTATCCTCTGGCCCTCTGACCAGTTGTAGAAAGCACAATTGGTAACAATGGGAGTCCTTTAAAAGAGACTGGCAGTGGGGTGGAGAAGAATTATAAGTCAGGCAAAGTACGCGGGCAGCCTGAAGGGGCGGGGCTGAAGGCCAGAGCTGGCGTCCCTCGGCCCGTGGAGCTGGAAGCTCCTAGGCTGGGGGTTGAGAGTGGATTGAGGTCTGCGAAGCACGCGCGCAGGGTAGTGGGAGGGGGTGTGGGCGGGG